CTAGAGTTGGAAACCATGGTATCCAGAGCTGTATCCGTAAGTGTAGCAATACAAAATCCCCCAGCCCCTGTGGCACACGGCCAGCCTTTAAAACCCGCTTGGGTAAAAAAAGAATACATATTCTGTGCTGCTTTCTTAACTCATTTTTGTGGCTCACAGCTAAAACCCCCCTAGCTGCGTTGCTTTTATGTGCAGTGTTACCTCCTTCATCCTTGTCCCTCCCGCTGCCCCCCCATCCCTCCCCTGTCACCTTTTGGATGAGATGCATTCATATCAGATCTGGATTGGAGAAAAGGGAGGGAGGACACCAACTGGGGCACATCTCTCTAAGGAGACACGTTTAATTTGACACCTGGAAAGACGGGAGGGACACAGTTCCCAGTGCTGTGGTCCCGGGGCCTGAGCACCGCCTGCCTGCGTCAGACAGCTGGGAGTGAATGGTTCATTCCCCTGTCCTCTATGACACCCTAGCTCACTGTGGGTTCCGTGTCCATTTTCCAGATGAGGCCAGGTCTGGAGAGCATGTTTCTGTATTCCTCTCGGCTTCTTGTTTATCTTCAGAAAAATGTCCATCCAGTCCCTTTGCTCGTTTTTTAAGATTTTTTATGTGCTAATTAAATGCTTAATTCTCAAAAATGACTCTGAATAAGGAGATTCAGTGTCTCTTTTCACCCACTTTGATTAACTTTCATATAGAAAATGGACAGGGTTGGCATTTTTCACCATCTATGAATGATTGCAGGAGGGAGCAACATATCCGTGGATAGATCTGGGGGAGGGTGATGTATCTGTGGGTGACATATCTGTGGGCAGGTGACATATCTATGGATAGATCTGGGGAGGGGTGACGTATCTGTGGGTAGATCTGGGGGAGGGTGCATATCTGTGGGTAGATCTGGGGAGAGGTGACATATCCATGGGTGGATCTAGGGAGAGGTGATATATCTGTGGGTAGATCTGAGGTAGATGACGTATCCATGGGTAGATCTGGGGTAGGAGATGATGTATCTGTGGGTAGATCTGGGGAGGGGTGACGTGTCTGTGCGTAGATCTAGGGGAGGGGATGATGTATCTGTATCTGGGCAGGGCTGGCGTATCTGTGGCTAGATCTGGGGTAGGAGATGATGTATCTGTGGGTAGATCTGGGGAGGGGTGACGTGTCTGTGCGTAGATCTAGGGGAGGGGATGATGTATCTGTGTCTCTGGGCAGGGCTGGCGTATCTGTGGCTAGATCTGGGGTAGGAGATGATGTATCTGTGGGTAGATCTGGGGAGGGGTGGCGTATCCATGAGTAGTGTTGGAGGAGGTTGTGATGTATCTACCCACAGGTAGATTCACTTGCTGAGCTGCTGTAACAACAAACCACCACCTTGTTGAGTTAGGCGCTTCTGCCACGTGCGCTCGCCCCTCCGGAGGCCTAAGGCTGCAGCCAGGGTGCCGGCTTCTCCTCACAGGAGCTCGAAGCAGGACCCTGCACCTCCCCTCGTATAAGGACCCCGCCTACTTGACTAGAACCCCGTCTGCAGGGTCTCCTCTCGTGCCATCTACAAAGATCCTGTTTCCAAATGAAGCTGGGCTCCCAGTGTGACAAGAGGGAGTAATTACCCCGCAGCAGAGCCGGCCCCAGGGCTGCTCAGCGGAATCACGCAGCCGCCGAGGACGCGCGGCCTGTCGCGGCACAGGTGTGTGTTGCTTGCTTTAAGGCTCCCTGTTACGTTCTGCTGGGTGGCTGAGGAGAGCCTGGTGCAGGGGACCTGGGCCCGGCCTGCCCTTAGTTCGGGTCGGTCTCACCTGGGGTCGGGGGTTTCACAGAGAGGGAGCACCGTGTGGTTACCTGACACTCACTGAGCTGCGCTGGGCTGACGCTTGCATTCTGCTGCCTCCATGGCCAACAGGACGCTGGGCCCCGCAGAGGTGTGTTCCACAGAGAGGGGGTGCCCACGTGGGGACCCCGAGGTCTGCTTTGAGCACAGCACCCGGCACCCAGACGGGGAACCTCATACTTCAGGCTCATTTCTACTCATGTTGGCTGTCTGGCTCTGTCTTGGGGTAGAAGCACCTGCTTGCTGCCCAGGGGGAAGTGACCACTGGTCTGCGAGCGGAGGGCGGGTCCCGCTGCGTGTCACCGCCCTGTCTGTGGCAGGGACTCCCGGTCCTGTCTGGAGTCTGCAGTGGAATCCAGACGCATTAGTACTGTCGATCCACGCCAAAATCCAAACACATCTGCCCTTCGCACGCTGAGAAGTTACGCGGGGCGGGTTTTGCCAGGAGAGGCCGCGAGATACCCTGCTCCCCTCCGAGGCCGGGACTCAAGAAAGCACCAGATCCAGAACAGAACTGTGGTCTCCGGAAGGCGCCTTGGGGAATGCTTGTTTACATTCCGCTTCGTTTGGATTAGCCGAGTCTTCCGAGAGCGGGGCCTGGAATGGAGTGGCGCGTGTGGGAACCCACAAGAGAAGCAGGGACGGGGGAGGAGCCCCGAGCGAGGGAGCTGGAGGATGAGTTTATGGTCTAGGTCATTGTGGTTTTATTAGACTCATAAAACCCGTTTTCTCCTCATTTTCGTAATGGCCTCGATAAGCCCCTGAGCTTCCCGGAGGTGTGTTAAATCCGTGCGTGCGCGCCGGGCGCCGGCACGGCCACGCGGGTTGGGATTCCCGGCCGCAGGGTGAGCGCAGAAGCAGAGGCAGTGTGTGGTTTGGAGCGTAATTCATGTTTATTTGTGGGCTTTCCCGAGAACTCTGCGGGAGGCTCCATTAAACTTCTGTATCGATGATACACAGCCGAGCCGCAGGGCATCGACTGCTCCTGTCCCACGGGAACATAAATCACCGTTCAAAGAGGAAATACGGAGCACCGTCTGATTCTTAAAATGTAATTTAGTGGAGAATTCAATCATGTGAAGTAGGATGAAAAGCATTTTATATGTGAGATCTGTGCACTTCTTAAATAATATCTTCATTGGATTTTTACATCTGTATTTAAAAGAAATGGAAGCTCTCTTGGATAGCAGATTTGCGTCTAAATGCAGTTGTGAATGAGGACTTGGGTGAAGTTCATGTAACCCACGCAGGGATCCAGTCCTCTCCATCCTGGCCTGGCCGGGGCTAACAAATGTCTACACTCAGATGGCACTCGGGCGCATGGGACCACCGAGGCTCACGGCCCGGGAGGGAGAGCTGTCTGAGACTGGGAGGATGCTTCCGTGTCTGCAGTCATTTCTTCCTGGCAGACGTGCGGTCACACGTCCCCTTTATCTCAGAGCGGCTTTGTGTGGTGTGGTATGGTGCTTACAAAGGGTCAATAGGTTCGGCGTGGGCGCTCGTTTGAGGAGCGTGGCCACGTCTTCGCACAGGGTCTGTGGTGTGCTGGGGAGAGGGACCTTTCCCACCTGTGTCTGTCTCACCACAGGGTCTCACGGCAGAGGCCGCTCGGCTGAGCCCTGACGCAGCTGTAGGAGATGCGCACGGGTGACTGGTGTCAGCTCACACTCTGTGGGGACAGGCGTGTGTCCCGTGGTGTCAGCTCACACTCCGCGGGGACAGGCGTGTGTCCCGTGGTGTCAGCTCACACTCCGTGGGGACAGGCGTGTGTCCCGTGGTGTCAGCTCACACTCCGTGGGGACAGGCGTGTGTCCCGTGGTGTCAGCTCACACTCCGTGGGGACAGGCGTGTGTCCCGTGGTGTCAGCTCACACTCTGTGGGGACAGGTGTGTCTCACATGTGGTGTTGTAGTACAGAAAGTCTCCCTTTCAGATCCCAAGTTGGGAAGCAAATGGCCAAACCCAGGACCGAGACACTGCTCCGGGGACAGGGATGAAGTCACTGGGTTTTCTCCCTTCACTGTTTTGGGAAACACGCAGAATGTGGCGCCTGAGATGTGGAGGGGCTGCAGGGTGCAGTGTGCAGTGTGGAGTGAGCGTGGCGTGAGGACCCACGCACTGCCCCCTCCTGTGAGGACCCACGCACTGCCCCCCCTCCTGTGAGGACCCACGCACTGCCCCCCCTCCTGTGAGGACCCACGCACTGCCCCCCCTCCTGTGAGGACCCACACACTGCCCCCCCTCCTGTGAGGACCCACGCACTTTCCCCCCTCCTGTGAGGACCCACACACTGCCCCCCCGTGAGGACCCACGCACTGCCCCCCCCCCCGGTGAGGACCCACACACTGCCCCCCCTCCCGGGAGG